GTTTGGTGTTTTTTTTTTTTTTTTTTTTTTTTTGTGTGTTTTTGGGGGGGGGGGGGGGGGGGGGGGGGGGAGGGAGTGCCCTAAATCCACCGATGCAGACAATGTAATCACACCCCACAAAAATTGTTATTAACACTGTTGCTGAACATAGTAGATATTTAAAATACGAGAGTGCAATTTCTGGGCACCTATGGGTCCTTTCCTTAAAATGTTCACGCTTCAGCCTCAACCATGGTGGGGCTAAAGTGGCGTGGAATCTCATGCACCCCCTAAAACCGAATCCTGCATCCTCCACAGCATGATGGTTCAAATATAGAACAAAATATTAAATCAATATGTTCTTTTCGGAGTTTGCATATTATCATTATTAAAAACGTTATCCCTCCTTTCCAAACCATTTCCTCTGTAATATAAATAACAACTTTACAATTTCTATTTTTTTAAATTGTTCCTTTGTGACCATACTGTAACTCATTAACATGAGTTACTGTACAGTGCAACCACACTGTAACACATATGAACTTAAACTATGATTTCCATTAAAAAAAAAAAAAAATTCTGCTACTTGTCTAATAACTCCTTTCACTTCCAACAGTGAATATTAAACGTACAAACAATGCAAACTTTCACATTTCCTGAATTTTCAAATCGGACTTTCCCCAGGAAACAGAATAGGATGTATAATAATAATAATAATAATAATAATATCAGAAGCAGATTAATAGGCTACTATAAACAATGACATTAACTATTTACACATTTACATGTAGGAATAAAATGTATAAGAAAGTTGAATGGGCCCGATTTCATCACAATATTTGTTTTATAAATTTTGTTACACTTTTTGAGAAATTATTTTTGAATATATATTTCTTTATGTCTAACACACCAGAAAACAAAGCAGCACACCTGTACAATATAAGGAAATAGAAGGCAAAGACTTCATGTATATTTATAACGGAAGTGGGGGATAAAGTAGGCTTAATGCATAGATCTACCTAAAGGCTTATTTTATCAAATGATAATTCAAAGTATTTAATAAAATATATCTCTTCTCAGCTAACAGAAATGACAGCACTTTAAGACAATCTCTCCAAAGCACCATTGAATTAATTGTTAGCTTTGTACAGCACACTGAGTTTTTTTATACCAATGGAAGTTATAACAATATATTATAAATTTTATACCATAAAACTGGTAATAATTTGAAGTGCTTTATTATTGCCATGAAGTGCTATAAAAGTCTTACATTATTGAAGATACATGACATTGTAGATACAAGAGATTGTACCATAATAAAATTATATTAT